TTCTAACAGTCCAAATGTCTGGCTTTTGTCCTCCAAACACTGAAAAACACTTACCAAAAGGTCCAGTTTCTTGAAAGGATTTCTGAAGACCTCACCTATTCAATTGCTGAAGTGAACAAGACTTGCCACTGAACAGAGACGAGAAATAGTCCTGACAGAGCAGACCATTCAGCTGTTCACAGCATCCTCTTTGACAAACACAGTAAAATCCCTTGGCTTTGAACAACCTGCACAACTGTTTGAGATATAGGCTCTGGTGTGTTCTCTTGTCATATACACAGCAGGAAGAAAGACAAACGTATACATTGTTCTAGGGATAACAAAAAATGCATTCTGTGTTTAATGTATTTTAGTTCTTATAATTGATACATAATCAGAAATTGTTACAAGACATTCATATTTTAGAAAGACCTCGAATTAAAGATTTGTACTTTAGTAATGATCTTGAAATGTCATGAACTAATCAGTGGAGGTGTGGTCATAACCTGAATGAGATAAAGCTGAGAAAATCCAGTGTACTTCAGAAAATTACTTATCAGCATTACCTATTTTTTCGTTTTTTACTAGTATATGCTCTGAAGTGTTATGCTGGAGTACCATTTTGGAAGACATAAAACAGAAATATTGACCAATTGTGCATTAATGCCTCATTGACCCAAGTTCACCTTGCATATTAGTTTCTTTCTGACAAAGGTGATTTTTTTCATAGCAGACCATGCTTGTATTCCATGCTATAGATATGAGAATTAAATGGTAAAATAAATACATGTAAAAGCAATTGGTATGGTCCTTGGTCATGACTTCCAAGAAATCACTGTTAGCTTGATTTGACCAATTTTAGTAAGGGTTTTCTTCTGAAAAATCGGCAAGGCCAAAATGAAAAATCACTCACAGAATTTCCTCACTTTATTGTAATTTTTCTTGGAACAGAACAAATTTGAAAAGAGCAGCATTTTCTGTGCTGTTAATTGTGTTTAAGCTTCTATGTTCTGTAAAACCTTTGTGTTTTCAAAGGAGATATCTAAATTATCTTCAACACATAGTGTCCTGAGAGTTATTACTTGTTAATATACTACTATGGCTTGCAGGCATTTAAAAGTGCTTTAAAAGTGTGCAGCAAATGAAGGCAGGCTGCTGTCAGCAGCCCTCCATCACAGGAGTGCTCTGTAGGTGAACAACCAGGAAATCACATTGAGGTGTGTTGTACCAACTGAACACATGCACACACTTTCTACATTTATTTCACTATTTCATCTTGACAGATGTGTTTAGAGAGTGTTTGGACAAATGCAGTGAGGTATTAAAACCTCATTACTCTATTGTCTCATATTTTTTCAGTATAGTAGCAATAATCATAATTTTTCACGACTATTCTTTGCAATGAAATTTGTGAGTACACATATTCTTCTCCACATATTCTGTTGCCTAATAACAAGATATTTTTAGTATGTTCATAATTCCAGTTTCTGGCTTTCAAAAGCACAGCAGCAGCTAGATGTATGGCAATATGATAACATGCCTCCAAGTTCTGAGCTAAATACCTGAGGCAGAAAAAATATGAAAAGAGAAACAAAAAAGACTACAGTAACAGTACGTTTAAGTAAGAAGTCACAATTATGTTTTATGAACTGCAATATCTGATATTTCCAGTACAGCAGTACCCATGAACTCCAGGTTGATTTTGGGGAAATATGTGTCATAAACTGGGCAGTAAATGGTTGCGGTGTTAGGGTTTTGGCCATTTCTACAAAGTAAAACTAAAGTAATATTGTGGAGAAAGAACATATTGCAATTTCCAATTCCGTGATGATTTAACAGAAAAAAAAAAGATTGAAATAGAAAACTAAGGAATAGTTTCAAGGCTTGTTCTTACAGTTATTTTTAAAGATTCTTTTTTGATATCTTGGCAAAATATGTCTGTCATCACTGTAAGAAAGTTTTATTGCCTGAAGGTTATCAATAAGCTAACTTGCAGATACCATTTTAAGTTACTAGAAGCAAAACTGAGGGAATTTTAAAAGTAAAGTTTTGATGATTTATTGCATACATTATTAAGAGGTGAATAATCTATTTTGTTTCCATGCATTTTCCAAATATGGTCTTGGTTGTAAAGCTGCAAGTATGGACTTCTGTCTGAATTTAATCTTTATTTTAATGTTAATTTTAATTTTTGAGTTGGAGGACAATTTTCTCCTGTAGAAATCAGAAATATTATATGTTTCATCTAATTTCTATTTTAAAAGTGTTGTGTGCTCATTACAGAATGTTTAATATTGCAACACTTTCAGAATCAGATACTGTCCTGAGTTTCTTGTGAGTTACTGCTTTATATTCTGTGAGACATTGCAACACCAGAATGCAGATGGTTTTCAAATCTTTAACTTGATATCTAAGGCAAAAGTGAGGCTTTGTTTCTTGATGGGTAGCTTTCAGTTTAGTGTTGCATCTTACTCTTTTTGGTTCACATTAATTTTTAATTACATTAGTCATTCTTTGGTTGTGGCATGGATCGATAGGGTCTGGATTCTGCCAGCTTGAGCTGTAAACCCTGGCTTGGAATAAACTTCTTTGTCTCCCAGGCAAGATTAAGTTTCCCAGTTGTCTGGTGCAGTGTCTCTGAAAGGTGGTTTCCCATGTCAATTACCTGAGGGATTTGTTGCTATTCTGATTGTTTCAGTTCTTTTCAGGGCTGACAAGTGTACACATTGTAAGTCTGAATTTTTTCATAACCTCATCTGTGCGCAGCAGAGGTAAGATGCTCAGAACTTTACCACATCAAAACAAACAGAATTTGAAAATGTTATGTGAAGTGCAAAGTCTTTGGAGACAGCTAGTGCCCCAAAGTCTACTTTACACAGAAGAGATTAACACCATTATTCTATGTATAATCTCTCTGGCAAAACACTGTCGCCTATTTCTGTCAACAAATGGTTTCTTTGCTTTGGCAGCTGAAGGAAATTTTAGTTGTGTAGGCAACAGAACATGCCTTTATAAGTTGCAGAACCCAATTTTAAAAATATTTTGGATGGTAACTGCAGTTTTGAGAAGTTAAATTATATTCATTAACTAAATATTTTTTTAAAACAAGCTAAAAAGACTAATTATGTCTGCTGTGTGTAACACACTCATAGTCCAAAGGCTTACTATTTCACAGTGCACCTTTTGAAAAGGTACTTGCAGACAGTTAGCTAAATAAAAGGTCTACACATATCCTGTCCAGGTAAGGCATACTTTAAGAGCACTTTTTTTTTCTGAATTAAGGTGGTGATGTGTCTGTACTGACAGTCTAAAAGTCTATGAAACTTCCAGATAGCAAAGAAAAGAAGATAAAGATGCTGTTGTAATATTTTTAGAAACTTAGACCAAACAAGTTTTGGAAAATCTGCAGGGAAAGGGGAAAAAAGAGAGATGCCACAGCATTTCATGCTGTAGTGTTGTGCATGAGTAGTGTAGTGCATCATGGTGCATCACAGAAGTTATCTTTTAATGGGATTTAGTTATATATAACCATAGTCAACATGTGTAAGTTTCTTTTCATATGTTAATAAATATGTCAGTGTTCTTTTTCAGATCATTAAATTACATTACTAGTTAATGAATTATTATACTTTTAATATAAAATTTTACTGTTTTCCCCCAAACATGGTTATTACAAAAATTAAAGCTGAGATAACAAATATCTACTTAATATATTGGATTGTGTTTTATTTTCTGCAATGTGCTTACATGGATGAAAGAACTGCATCATTGTTCACTTCTTCTGTTAGTGGAGGATCAGGTCCCTCATGGGGCAGGGAGTTGGATCCCTCCTCACTTACCTGGCAGGGTAAATGCCAGGCTCAGGGCAGAAGTGGATGGGTGTGAGATCCCTGTGCCAGGAGCCACTTCCCTCTCTGGATCTGGGCTGGGCACGTGTGTGTCCCGTGGGCAGGGTGCGGGTGCTTCTGATATGTGGCGTGCACAGGCTGTGCAAACAGGTTCTTACCATCTGGCTGAGTACATGTGTGCTTGCTTTGTAGGACTGGCTGCAGTTTCTGCCATGTTGATGGATAGCTGTATTTTGTTTATATGTGGGAAAGGATGGCAACATGACACAAGGCATTAATTGAGAAAAACTATCATGAAGCAATCAGCTTGTTTTTTCTGCACATCTAAGAGTGGTGGGGAACAACCTCTTGAAAATTGTCTCAGTACCTGTCCTGGTGATAGTTACAGTGACCTTTCTCTGTGTTAATTTGTAGTTTACACTTCGTAATTAAGAAGCACAGATCATTGAAGCAAATTATTAATGTTAATCAGTAAGTCAGCATACAAGAATGCAAAGAATCAAGTCTCTCCTTGTATGCTAAATGAAAAGATTTCTTCCAGATTCTTGCTTTGATCATTAGACTCTTTTAAATAAGCAAACATTACTTAGTTGCTAAGCCACAGACTGAAGTTCATTAGTGTGTTATAACAAATATTGGAAAAAGAGTACTAAACCAATATAAGATAGAGGACCTGCGCGTAGGCTGGAAGTAATGCAATAAACGTGACACGGGAACATTTTGAAAGAGGGTTCAGAGTGATTAAAACCATTTCTGTTTTCCAAACCACACCCACTCAGCAAGAAAAAGTGCCAACCCTGAGTTGATCTGATTTTTTCTGCTACTGATATCTCTAAGGTTTTCTGGAAGCATAACAGATCTTATATTACTATAAACAAATTTGTTCATATTTTGCATTTTAAATGTTGGTGAGGTATATTGATGTGGGTTTTTTTTTAGTCTAATGGTTATATTTAGAATGTTTTTGTACATAGATTGAAAGCCAGAATGACTTCTTACTTAAATATCCTGTTTGGGAGCCTAACTCAAAATCCTAACAAACCAGTTTTGGATAAGTAGATATTGCAGGTCGTTGAACTTCACAAGAAGTCGTGGTCATTTGGAATTGTTTTGTATTCAGTATGTTATCCTAAGCAAATGAACTAACAGTCCATACTTTTGCATTCTCCACAGATCTTCAGTACAGTGACAGAAGAAGAGGAAGGAGCAGAAGATATTTTTGAATATATTCCTCATCTTCTGAGAAAGCTCCCAATATCTGTTACAGACTGTATATACAAAGGAGATGGTTTTTGTGTAAAACCATGTGTAACAGGTGCTTACTGTCAATATCGTGCCACTTTACAGAGGACTGCACTCTCTAACTATATAACTGGTGCTTTACTAGAAGCAACTACATCATTAGGAGCAAGAAGTGGTCTTTTAAATATCTTTGGAGGATCAACTGGAAGAACAATGCTTAAAGGTAATGAAGATTTTTTTTAAGTCTCTGTCCACTTAAATTATAGGATGAGTTGCAAAATTATTAATACTATATAGTATTCTGTAGTTTATATACTCATCCATGAAGTTAACAGATAAAAAATGTTTTATGTTTTCAAATATTTTCCTTGGCAGTCATTGTGTATCATAATGAATAGCTGTCTTAGTTTGATAAAGTAAAAATGCAGCTAAACTGAAAAGACTTGTATTACAAAACATTTTCAGGTTTTTTTCTTGTATTAATCTTTTCTGCCTGCATCCAAATTTAATGTCTAAGCTGTTGTTTTTAGAATGTTCCCATGTGTAGTATTTCTCATTTACCAAGTGCTCCTGCTCATGGACTGACTTGGTTCAGAATTAGAGGAAGGAGTGTATGCTCTACTTGATTATTATTGTTGTCATTATACAAGTAGCTGTCAGCATAGCACTGTGTTGTGAAGCTTGCACTCTTCATTACTGATTTATTTTTGGTCTTCTCCTGGGTCTATCATCTTTGTAGTATTGGATCATTTCAAATAATGTGGGTACTGTCTGTATGGAAAGTGCCTGTTGGGAAATGGATGTTGCATACTAAGCTTCCATGCTGATAATATTCGTAAGTAATAATATCCTTAATGTTTAGTTTAGTGTGTCTTGGAAGCTAAATAAAGCCTTATTGGTGGAAATTCTGTGCTTTAAAATATGGTTTTGTACAGAACAGTACTTACATTATTGATTAATTTTTAATTAATGCCTAGAATATTTCATAAGTTACTTAAGCATTTGGAGATCTGTCATCATCTGATAAACCATAACAAAAGGATGTAGTATCTCAGTCATACCATGGTAGAAGTGATACATGTGGATATTATGGCTTGCCCAAAATTTTACAGAAATATGACAAAATAAGTGCAAAACCAGTGCAGTTCCTTAACTAATGCAGATAATGACTTCATTTTAAATAGACAAATAATAGTATAGTTTATGCTTATATGTGGCTGTCTTATTTTTATCCCAAGAAATGGCCCTTTCTTGTTTTAATTATTTTCTCTAGGTGAATCAAAGGGCAGAGAGAGGCACTAAAATGTTCTAATAACAGGTACAGATAGCAAATTTGTAGCATGTGAATGAATTTCAGTAGTACCTTAAGTAACATTACTGAACTTCATGCACCATCATTGTCTGTGAGACAGATATGTACAGTATAGTGCCCAATTTTGGTAGGGTTTTCCATTTTATTTTGTTTGGTTTTTATTTGTTCTGGGGAGATGAGTGCTTTAGAAAAATAAACGGGACAGTCCTGCAGCAGCTTGGAAAACAAGATTAGAAGAACTGAGCTGTGTGCTTCAGAGCTGAGTTCTGAAACTGAAGCAGTAGCAATAGTTAGCTCAGGCTCACTGAGCTGCTGATACAGCTACATCTCTTTATGGAGCCTGAGCTACTGAGTGCACTTGTGTGCTCTGTGTACTCCATGTACCAGCACACTTTGCACTAGTTTGGGGGTATCTATGGTGACAGTATTACATGGTGTATGATGTTGGATTCTGAGCCAAAGGATGTAAGACCATAAAAAAAAAGCCAAGATTTTGAACTCAGTTTCAATTCCGCTGATAGCCTGTGTAGATAGTAGAGACTAGATTTACTGTAGTGGTCTAGGCATGATTTACTGTGCTGGTCTCTGGTGAGGAAGAGGTGTGCTGCAGCTTTAGGATATTGAAATTTTCTGGATGTGGAAGCTTCCTGTTCATTTATATTGTGATGATGTATTATATCTGAGAAATTACAAGAGTCCTCTCTAAAACATTCATACGGAGAATTACCTGGTGATGTGACCAAGTCATGTGCATTAGCAAGGAACCCCACTGTATTTTGAATTCAGAGCTCTGGTCATCATTTATGGGTGTGCCTTTTGAGAAATTGTCCTGTCTATACAGATTGATGAGGAGGTTATTTTCATTTGTCCATCATCCTCTGTATGGCTGGATTTAACCTCAATAAGCTAACCTCATCTAAACCTGAGAAATTTTAATTTCCATCAATAAGTCTGTCATTAAATGCAATGGAGGATTTATCACAGGATACAGAATGTCATGGGAATGCTTCACTCAGTAGTTGTTTGGAGGCACTGAAAAGGGAATATATTGATCCTGTTGTGGTTTAATAGCTGCTGTTGTTTAACTCTGGTAGGTAGCACCTTGCTTACACTCACTCCCCTAGAATGAGATGAGAAGAGAATCAGAAGGGTAAGAGTGCAAAAATTAATTGAAAAATTCAATTGAAGAGAATTTAATAGATAAAGTAAAAGCTGTGTGTGCAAGCAAAGCAAAATGAAGAAGTAATTCAATACCTGCAGTCAGCAGGCAGGTGTTTAGCCCTTCATCAGTTCTTTGTGTTCAGTCCTTTAGGGGTTACTTAGTGACCTGAGCAATGAACCTTGTAGTCACAAGCAGTCCAGCTCCAGGGAGTTGGACTTTCTTTCTAAGGTTTTGCTTGGTAGTTAAGGACCTTAAATGCTCTGAGTCCCCAGGGCTCGGATGGTTTTGTGGGCAGATCAGCCAGTGTTGTTAGTTCCACAGAAGGCTTCCAAACATACCAGACCTTCTAAGCCAGAATTCCCGATCACGTGGATCTGAGACTGAGTTTTCAAAAACTCAAGTAGTTCAAAAACTGGAGCAGGGTGCCTGCAAGCCCCGCTCTCAGATGGCCCCTGGGGCTCTCAGGCTCCCGACTGAGGGGCTGCACTCCGCTCCCGGTAGCACAGGGGTAGTCTGAGACTGGGCTCCCGGGAACCACAGATGCCTGGAGTTCCCACAGCTGGTCAGTGACATTCCCATCCTTGTCAGCATCTTTGTTGCTACAGAGAACATAATTTTTACATATGAACACTGAAGACATTTAGGCTGCACTGTTTTAGTATCTCTGTATGTAACTCAGAATTTTTGGTTAGTAAAAATTTTAATTGTGTCTTTCAATGGGATTTGGGTTGAAGCCAGGTTTTTTCCCTGTAGAAAGGAAATCCTGCTTCTCAGCCTGTTTTGTTTCTTACAAATTGATTGTTACAGAAATTTGCTCATAGTTGTGAATGGGCCAGAACTTTCACTGTAATCATATTTGAAGGGCCAGTCATTGTCATAGTTCATATGGTGTTGACATTTTTATGCAGAAAGTGAAAAAAGTTGTGTCTTTCTTAAAGAAGGAACTAGAGTATGTGAAAATATTTGTACTTTACATTTGATAGAGTTATCATTTGAAAGAAACATGTACTCTTCCCCCCCAACCCCAATTTAGTTCTGTTTGTAATCTAAGATAAAGGGAAGTTAGAAAGAGCTGTCTGAAGATGAGCAGACTGAAAACATTTTCTATCAGTATTCTTTTCACTATAGCATCTTCTAAAATTGATGTCTGATGCCACTCTTGAAATTGGACTACATCTTCTAGAGAAAGCTTGACAACACTTGTTAGACAGACAATAGCAGGTTTTGACCAAGAACATAAGGAAAGTAATTTGTCTTGAATGTGGAGGCAGACTGCATTGATCTTAAGAAAACATGCATCATTCATCCCACAGAATTTAGTGATTACCCTTTTTTTGTAATCAGACTTTGCCATCTGCAAGACTGCACAGCAAACAGGTGCCCAAGTCTCTGTGCCTTTTCCCACTGCTATATCTTGTATCCTTTGCACAGAGTGTTGTTACCATATTGGGAAAATTCCAAGATCCCTGAAGTTGGGGCAGTTATCTGGTAGCTATATGTCAGAGTCATGGGTGATAACAAGCTTGATGTACATAGACTTGGAAAGGCCAGCATAATTTAGCTGGTTGGTTGTGTGTGTGCTTGTATATGTTTGTGCCCAAAGGTTAAGGCCATATAGAATGGGATATAAAGCCAAACGAGCTGAAATTAAGACCTGAAAAGACAAAATGTGTCTTAGGCTGACACATTTGGTGAGATGTGTCAGGCAATGCACTATAGGAGAGGAAATCAGATATTGGAGACAGGTCAGCCTGCATGTAGATAATGTGGCCTGAGGCAAGGGTGTGATTCAGGAAACAAGGATTTCATGCCTGCTGTGTTGCCTCCAGGATGTAGGTCAGGAATAGCAGGAACAAGTGCATGTCATCTGGTTAGGAGCAGAAAGAGTGACATGGCAGGAAGCACAGATCAAGCTGAAACATCAGGAAGCAGGAGAAAGATTTTGGAGGACAGCTGTAAGTCTAGGGACACGTGGGACCATCAGGAGCTGACTACCATGATTGTCCCTGCAAACTGGCAGAAGGGAAAGTCTCCTGGACTTGTCACTCTCTGGCCAGGCCTCGTTGCAGCCAGGTTGGGCTGCAATCAAAGGGACACACAAAGGGTAATGGGAGAAGGACTTAGCAAGGATCCTTGACAACATTAACAAAAACTTCCTTCAATCCAACCTGTTTAATACATTATAGGCACAAAGATTTAAGTTCTGCCAGCATAGCTTGTCTTATCCTTACAGTCCTCTTTCCAGTAAAGGCATATTACTGTGAGATAGACATATAATTGAAGCAGGCAGAAGATTGAAGTTAACCAGTGTAAGTAATCTTATTAAAAGGATTTAAAATATTTTCAACTGCAAAATTGCACCTTTGGATGTGATAGGTATCATATTCCTGGTACGTGTCTGTATGGATCTGGATATCCTAACCTGTGTAAAGGGCTAAGCCATTAAGAAACAACTGAATTTCAGCTAATTTTACATAGATTTTACTTCCAGTAATACTGTGTGACAGTTTGGGTATGCTGTTGATCCTTTTATCTGTGTATCTGAGTCTCAGCTTATAGCAATATTTTTGTTGGGAGTCTATAGCTGTTATGTCCACCAAAAGAAAAAAAAGTTTAAATACATAGAATGAGTCTATGTTGTTAGAGGTTTGTTGTGGGGAAGGTAATAAAGGACATGCTGATGTCTGTGGATGAAAGCTGAGAGAGCAGAAGTTTGTGCAAAGTTATATTAGTTTTAAAATCAAATTTA